GTTTATATTTCAAAACATCATCCAACAGGATTCTCAATAAAGAGTACACAGCCCCATGGAGGAGATAAGAAAGGTAACATAAAGAGCCATAATAAAAAGAATAAGGTGGGGACACCCCAGGCCTCATGTGACTGGCCTTGTTTGGCAAAGTGAAATGGAGAACATAGAGAGAAGATTGGGTTGCAGAAGAACTAAAGAGTGAGTTACATTTTATGCAAGTCAAATCTGCAGTGCTTCTTGGACCTCTGAGCAATATCCAGCCAGCAATACCTGTCAGAGAAAGACATGGGCAGATACAGGGATTAGGAAACATGGTTGGTCCTGAGCTTTTCTGTTTTCTGATTTCCTTGAATTCTGTTCAGAACAGCCAGTTGCTCCATTGTCATATTTGTATAGGGAGGGAAAAGTGGACTTGTGTGTTTGTAACATTATAGTAGACATAATGCCCCAAAGTGTCTGTGATGACCTGTGATGGCTTCTGAAAGGGTTACTCAGTTGTAACAGCAAGTCTTTCCTTTTTTGTTCTGCTCGGGTATATGACAAGGAGAAAACCTGCCCATTTTGACTCCCCAACATCAGGTTTTGGTTTGTTTGTTTGCTTATTTTTGGTGTGCATACATGTGTCTCTGCAGTTATGCAAAGAAGTCTGGATATTTGCCAGGTTCTCTCCTGACTTTGGACTCCTGGGGAAGAAATCAGGATCTGGCTTGGCTATGCCATGATTCTGCCCCTACTTCTATCTGGTGGACCATGATTGGCTGCCTCTCATAATAATGCCACTTTCATTTCTCTAATACTTAATTCACTTGGTTGAAGAAGCAGGACATGGAAACCCTGGATATGGCTTCAGTGCAAAATACTATGATTCCTTCCCTGACAGTCAAGGGCTGGCTTTGTCTAAGGGCTGGCATTCTTCAGAGAGAGTGGAAAATTAGGTGTCCTCAGGAACTGAACAATCCCCCCATACACCCAGAACCATAGATAAAGTACGTGGATATGCTTGACCGATTTACACATGTTTCCTGGATTGACATTTGTGTCTACCAGACAGTTGCTGTCACCCAAGCTATTGTACTCAGTCTCTCTGACTTGACTATCATTTCAAAATTACATGTGTAGCCCAAAATATATTTCTCTATGTATTTTAATTGCTGCTCTAGGCAATCAAGTATTCTAGCTGCATTGGAGGACAGAGGAACTGCAGGAGGCGAAGTTGTACATAGAACTAGTGCAGGAGCTAAAATGTGCAATTTTGAAATGCTCTTTGCTGGAGGCTGTGAGGGTCCCACATAGGGCGGACAGGAGTGTGTGTATGTAGTACAGACCTTAGGAGCATGGGCCCCTGGGCCAGGGTGCTGCAGTTCAAATCCTAGCTCTGCTACTTATTGGCTATGTGTACATTTCTTGTCTTCTCCCATCTCAGTTTTTCCATGAATCACTGTAGAAATATTGTTTATTTGTGTATTGTCTGTCTCCCATGAAGAATATAAGCTTTGTAAGATTGGGATGAAAAATTCCTAATTCATTTCTATAAAACCAAGTACCTAAAGTAGGTAATGGCACATATAAGCACTTGTTAACTATTTATTGAATGAATAAATACTCAACATACATGGTTTTAAAAATGTCATTTATTTAAAAATATTTTTCTAGTTTTATTGAGATAAATTGACATACAGCATTGTGTAAATTTACAGTGTACAATGTGTGTTGATTTTATACACATACATTGCAAAATGATTATCACCATAGGGTTAGCTAACACCTCCATCACATCACATAATTATCACTTCTTTTTTGTGGTGAGAATATTTAAGGTCTACTCTCTTAGCAGCTTTCAAGCATAAAATACAGTATCATTAACTGTAAACAGCATGAGTACAATGGATCCCTAGAACTTATACATCCTGTAACTGGAAGTTTGTACACTTTGACCAACATCCCCCAGGTCCCCAACCCCAGTTCCCTAGGAACCACCACTCTACTCTGTTCCTATGACTTTGGAATTTTAAATTCCACATATAAATGATATATGGTGTTTGTCTTTCTTTTTCTGACTTATTTCACTTAGTATAATGCCCTCAAGTTTCATCCAACTATTGCAACATGGATCTTGTTTTTAATAGGGCATGTTATAAAGCAGTTAAGTAAGATATTCAGCTTATTTTTGGCACCTGTTCAGTATTATTGCTACTATTCTATTTACTATATTACGTGACCTTCTCAAGGTTGTGTTTCCCTGCCCTGGATTTTGATGCCCACTTAGGATCAGGGATCTAGAGGATCTGGTCACACCTTTGTGCCCAAACACAGTGATTTTGTTCCTGTCCTCTTTTGAGCCTCCTCTCTAGCCCACCTGGTTTGCTGTTAATCCTGCCTAAAATCAAAGGGCTTACTTGCCCTGAACATGCCACCATTTCATGTTTTGGACTCTTGGTGCCTGCTAGCCTACCTGCCCGAATGCTGTCTCCCATGACCCTGGCTCGTGTTCCCCTTCTCTTGTTGGGTGTCTTTAGTGGAATCCCTCTGGGCCTTTCTGATCTTCAGCCTATTATGCCTCCTTTGCAGCCTAGTGTCCCTGAACATCACTTAGTCCATCGTTTTTCACCAGTTGAAAAGAAGCAATGGAATAGAATGTTGTTGTTTATTCCAGGACCACACTCTGCCCCTGACTCTGCTATATGCAAGGTGGCTCAGATCTCCTGGCTTCTGAAGTGGTTCCTGGAGGGGCAGTGGGATATAGAAAGACCAAGGAGTAGGGAGCCTGGGTGTGCTTAATCTCTGCCCTCATTTACTATAGTTTTAGGGCCACAACTTCCCATCTTTGTGAGAATGGCTTCTCCTCTAATTCTTCTCTCCCTTTTCATGGGCATTGATAACTCATAAACTCTCCTCAGTAAAAGGACTTTGAAAACAAAGTGCTAGAAATTCTGGATACCCTGAAGCTCCTCTGGGATAGATTTTGGAGAGAAGACACGGCAGAACACAGAGAAGCTGGTGAGCAGTTTATTTTATAGATCACAGCAGATGCTTCAGCCAAGTTTCTTTAGAGGCAACCACCTGGACAGGTGGGTATGGATGGCAAGACAAGGGCTTCCGCCAAGATCAGATGATGGTTAGGTTTGCAAGGACGTAAAAGCGGTTTGCTGTGATGGGTGTGACTGCTTCATTGTTAGGGCAGATACCTTGTTGGCGAGTAATGTTGACCACTGCTGCTATGTTTAGAGAGCCTGAAGGAGACAAGCACAAAGGTCATTTCTGACAACATTCTAACCCCTTTGCTTTTCTACTAGTGCCAGGTACCTCCCGGCTGGGACTCAGTTTCCCCAGATTGTTTTCAAATGTCTCTCCTTGATTAGTTTTTCCCACACCCCCCTCACCTCTTGAGCCTGGGCTTACTCTGCATCTACTCTTTGCTCTTCTTCCCTCACCTTTCTTCCATCCTTTTGCTTTGAGGTTCTGCTCCAGATTTGGACCACATTTCAGTTTTCCCTCCCTGGTGGCGAATTCCTCTCTTGGACGACTCCTATACTTACGGTTGGTCTGAAAGTCCCAGTAGAAGGTTCTTGGAACATTTTCACAGAGGCAGCCAGTGAATCTGTATGTAAAAGGTCCCTCCATTGGAAGGTTGCTTATGAGGCGACATTCAATCTGGGGAGGGAAGTAGACACAGTGTTAATCTGGGGGAGGAGGAGGTAGAAGAGGACATTCTTTGACTGAAGAGCAGGATTGGAGATGGCCTGAGGCCTGGGGCAGTCCCACTCTTGTAGAATTGTTCAGGAGCTGAAGTCTAGGTCAGGTTTTCTGTCCGTATATCCTCAAATTTCCTGCGTTAGCAGTGTGGGTCTGGGCTCCAGAAAGAAGAGGTAAGTGAATTCACAGGGCCAGAAGGACTCATCCTGGGACAGCCCTTCATCTGGGGAGCAGGCTTGCCCGGTTCCCCAGCCAGGGCTCTCAGGGGTGACCACAGCCAGGCTGCTCGGGTGTGGGAGCCAAAGCCAGGCCATGTTGCCACACCGTGACCAAGGCCCAGCTCTGCTTCTCTCGAACTTAGTGATCTTTGCTAATTAGAGCCACATCTCTTACTCTCATTTCCTTAGTTGTGAGAGGAAAACAAATACCTAACAAACCTGGCTGTTGGATGAACCGATTAAATTTTTGAAGGTAGGTTTTTTTTTTAAATTTAGGACCTTTTCATCTTAAGATCCTAGAGCATTGCATATGTGAGTTTCATCAGCATCAAGACACTTGTCTAGTTAGTGTTCACACGGGCATATTATCCTGGTGCTTATAGACCTACAGGGGTCAGTGAATAGAATTCAGTCAGTCTGTGAATGCAGATAGAAAGAAATTGTATCTTCATTTTACTAACCTCTCACTGAGATTGAGCGTTCTTTCCATGGTGAGATTGTCAGCAATTCACAGGGCAGTAGTCATGTGTGTGATTTTATCACAAGGAGAAACAGAGATAGGTTCCTACCACATTACAGGTTGAGGTGGCTGGAAATACTGTTTGGTCTCATCACTACCTTGAACACAGTGGCATCACTGGGCTGCACAGTCATGGGCCATGTCCCGCCTCCTGCAGCTCGTCCAGGTACCTGGCAACTCTGCACCGAGGGGCCTGTCAGCCCCAGATGGTGAAGTCGAGTGTTCACCCCATTGGAACTGTACTCAGCATACTTTGGAGATCCTGGTGTTTTTTAGAAAAGCTTACCCTTGCCTTGTTTACCTTCTTATTCCCTTTATAGCGGTATATATCTTCATGAATCAGAATTTTCAGCACTTGAGTAGTCAAACAAAAATATCAGAATCTTTTAGAATCAGCTGGTTGTCAAAGGCCAGTGCAGTTAAGGTACTTATTCAAGCTAAGCCACAGGAGCCGTCACATAGGTAGTCTTCATAAAGTAAAGTTTGACCTATTTACATTTTAAATATATTGCCTTTTCAGCTAAATGTGTCAATAAAGAAAATGTATTACTGTGTCACAAACTTATTTTTAGTAATTTTATCACTATTCTTTAATATGGTCGCTTTCCTGTGTAATCCAATGAATTTTATTTCTGTATTTAAAAGCAGTTTTCTGATGAGTGTTCACAGACTTAATGAGACCAGCAACATGGTCCAGACCACAAATGTTTAAGTGCCATGGTTTACCAATTTTCTTCAACCTTAAAGGATTATATAATCATTATTTTCAAATATATGATTGAGGGTATAATCTATTTAATTTTAATTTTATATTTGTCATCCTAATACCTCACTTGATCAAAATTTTAGTTGCAAAAGCATTGTAATTGATAAAAAATGAGGATTAGATGCTAGAAACTTCATACATATAAAAAATTTTATTTTCTTTACTAAATCCTCACCCCAAGTAGTGTAGTTACTGTCAACATAGAAAGATATTACAGAATTGTATAGCAACTATACCTCAATGAAAAATTTTATTTTCTTAAAGTTTTAAAAATAAGGTGTTTTTATAGCTATACATATTTTTTTATTGAAAGCTATAAACAAATTGGCTAATCAGAACTAACAAAATTTCAAATAAAGTCTTCCTAATTTGCAGTATCATTTATTCTGGGGAATTCCTTGTCCTTTACTCGTCCTTGGGTAGTACATTTCATGTACTAGCATTGTTCTTAAAACATAGTCCTATTAATCACAGTGGCACAAAATTATATCACATGTCACTTTGTTGACTAAGCACATTTTTTTATGCCTGTCACTTTCTCGGGTGGAAATGGACTTTCAATATCTATCACCACCAGAAACTGCCATTATCACAAAACTTTCATATACACATTCTCAAATTTTCTTGGTCATCTGTGGTAATGTGTTTAAACAAAACACAAAATTTAAAAATTATGATTCAGCTTCCCTCCCACCCCAAATCAACATACATGGTTCATATTCTTGGAGTAAATAGGAAAATTTGACCAAGTGGCTGTTTAATTATTTGCTTAATGATCAGAAATCTTTCTCTTATAAGCATGGGCTATCTCTAGGATGTATTTTAAAGATAGTAGTCCTCATGCTCCCAAATTTGTTTTCTACTTAATCATTGTCCTTAAATCTAATTTGAGTTAGGAAACTCAAGCTGTAGGGAAATACTTGTGCTGCTTGAGAGGGTGTCCTTTCAGAAGGAGGTGGGGATGCATGGGTCCTGGCTCTGGAACAGAGGTGGTTAACAAGGGTCAGATTGTGTGTCTGTGACAACACCCGAGAGGACACTTTCTTCCCAGGAAAGAGTCTCTGTGGGTTAGATCTGCACGAGTCCCTTTTCCTCATGGCCCAGAAGATACACAGGTGAGTCTTGTGCACGTTGCCATTTGGAAACCTCTGAGTGAGTGCAGGGATCGGACCTCCCTCCCACAGCTGCTGAACTGGGAGGAAGGGCAGAGGAGAGTGTGGGCTCCTTGTCAGGGAGAGGAGACTGGCACAAGAATCAGCTTCTGTTGACAGACTAAAAAGGCAGAGGAAGGTCTCTGCTCAGGGCTCACTGAAGAGGAGGAGTCATATCCTGCACGGTCTCTGCAGGGTGCCTCTGTTCCCCACCTGCCTCACCTACTGAACGGGGCTGCAGTGTTCCTTCCGGGAGCCCTCCTCCTACCCTTTGTCTCAGGCTATCAGATCCAGGACCTTGGAAGAACTCTTACCAGTTCTCCACCAGCTCTTAGGCTTTTGGTCGCTTTTCCCTCCCAGCATGCTTTTCACTCTGCCCACTCCTTCTTTCTCTATCATTCCTATACCTCTCGGGACCAGGGGTCCTTCATCTGTAAAATGAGAACAGTCATTGCATTGAGGTCTGATAGTTGTTCTAGGCTCAAGTGGTATTACATACATGAGAACTGGAAGCATGAGGATTGCTAGTCATTATTAATTATAATATATGGCATTAAAAATGGGAGGCTAATATAATCATACTCATAATTAAAGAGTTGTATTTTTCTCGAGTTCATTTCCCCAGGCCCCTACTTACCACCATACATTCTCTCAATTGTGTTTCTACTCTCAGCTTCGCAGTGACCTCTTCATTTGCTCTTGCTGTTTGGGGCATTTGAAAGTTCATTAGTACCACCTTTCGACTGGTTTTGGGAAGAGAGAAACAGGGCAGAGATCAGAGATCAAGAGAGAGTGAGCACATTGATCAGGGCAGAGGGCACAGGGAAGGTACAAGGGGAAGGAGGTGGTGGGAGTTGGATCAGTCACTGTGCATCAGTATTCCCTGGGAATTTTTTATTTTTGGTTGGCTGGTTTGTTTTGAATAGATTTAGTTTTGTTTAAAAAAGCAATTTGGATACTTTATTTAAAACTGAGTGTCTTTCCTTCTACTGACAATTTAAAAAAAAAGAATAAAAGGACAATACCGAATGTCCTTTCCTAGTAAAATCCTACAGGTTCTGCAAATTGTCCACTGAGTGGAATGGTTCAGGTCATCATTAGTAGAAAATTCCGTATCAACAGAATTTGTTAAACCACAAATATTCAATGCACTGGAGGAGTTTGTAGGACCATCCTTGAAGGTCTCCCTTCTTCGGTTCTTGGTGGGGTCTAGGAATTTGTTTTTGTTTGGCTCTTCAGGGAATTTGGACATATGGCCATGTTTGGGAACTTTAAATATCACCCTACATTCAGGTCACACACCACAATCTGATAGCAAGAAAAGAAATGAAGGCAAAGAGACCAGGCAAGTATTCTTTGGTCAATGAGGACTGGGTTTGGGGCCAGGAGAGTTAATTTCTTTTTCCCAGAAACCTTTGGCTAAGCTCCCTTGGTGTTGGGTGGGACAAGAGGGAGTTCAATTTCTTGGCCTACAATGTTTTACAGCACCATTTTCCTAGGGCAAAGCATCTTAGGCTTCAGAGATTCCATTTTTGTGCCTGTTGCTTTAGTGCTCAGTGCACAGAAAGAGGGTGTGAAGACTTAAGTGTCTTCAAAATTCCTCCCATTTGTAAATGAATTTAGGACTGATAGGATGACGAGCTAGAATGACTAATCATCCCAGTTTGCCCAACAGTGAGGAGCATCCTGGGATGAGGGCCTTTCAGTGCTAAAACCAAGAAATTCACGGGCAAGTTGGGATAGCTGGTCACCCTAATTAGCACAGCTTATTTCAACAACTTGCTGCTGTTCAGGGCTAAGTGGAGTGGCATCTGTACCTGAACCATTCAGGGTTTCCTGGGAAACCTGAACCTGCCTTCGTTATACCAGTTTGTCAAAATCCTGAATGATTTCCTCAGGTCGGGACATGTGGTCATGCCCCAGAAGGTACCACCAGAGTCACAGTCCAGAAACCCAGCATTTTAAACCACACTATTGTAGAGAAAACTCCCAAGATTTGCTGAGTGTTCCTGCTTCTCTCCAGAGCCTGGTCCACTCCCGACTTCATTTTGCTTGCCCCAATTTTCCTTCTTCCTTCCACATGCGCCCTCAGTGAGCTGGCCTCTGAACCTGTGCTCCCAGACCCCAGTGTGGCTGGGAGACGAGTGGTCCTTGCGTTCACTTCAGGCTTCAGAATAGGAAGGTTGTCTAAGCTGCTGGGCTAGCTTAACCTCAGACCACGGGCCCAAAGATCAGTGACTAGGGCCTCTGATCCTCCAGAGAATCCTGCCAAACCTGCCCAAAGCTTCTGTTGGCACTTACAGACCCGCTAAGCACTCTCTTCCAGGAGGCAAGGTATGAGAAGGTGAAATTTACTGAGCAGAAAAGTACCAAAGGTGTAAAGTGGACAGGATGTGGATCAGACCTTTAAAGCAAGACTAATTATTAATTACAGCCTGTGGGTACACTGGGAGCCTTATTTCTATGAGCAACATAGAAGCACCCAGTGGAAATGTGAGGGGAATTGGTGGGCCTTTCTACGAGAACTAGGAACTTCTCGGAAAAAGATACACAGATTTCCAGGCTAGGAGAGGAGCCCACCCCGAGAAGTATTTTGGGAGGAGGAAAAAGGCTTGACTCACCTGTTGTCCTGAGCTCTGTTGGTTCCCAGCTTGGGGCTGCAGTGTTCCTTCCGGGAGCCCTCCTCCTACCCTTTGTCTCAGGCTATCAGATCCAGGACCTTGGAAGAACTCTTACCAGTTCTCCACCAGCTCTTAGGCTTTTGGTCGCTTTTCCCTCCCAGCATGCTTTTCACTCTGCCCACTCCTTCTTTCTCTATCATTCCTATACCTCTCGGGACCAGGGGTCCTTCATCTGTAAAATGAGAACAGTCATTGCATTGAGGTCTGATAGTTGTTCTAGGCTCAAGTGGTATTACATACATGAGAACTGGAAGCATGAGGATTGCTAGTCATTATTAATTATAATATATGGCATTAAAAATGGGAGGCTAATATAATCATACTCATAATTAAAGAGTTGTATTTTTCTCGAGTTCATTTCCCCAGGCCCCTACTTACCACCATACATTCTCTCAATTGTGTTTCTACTCTCAGCTTCGCAGTGACCTCTTCATTTGCTCTTGCTGTTTGGGGCATTTGAAAGTTCATTAGTACCACCTTTCGACTGGTTTTGGGAAGAGAGAAACAGGGCAGAGATCAGAGATCAAGAGAGAGTGAGCACATTGATCAGGGCAGAGGGCACAGGGAAGGTACAAGGGGAAGGAGGTGGTGGGAGTTGGATCAGTCACTGTGCATCAGTATTCCCTGGGAATTTTTTATTTTTGGTTGGCTGGTTTGTTTTGAATAGATTTAGTTTTGTTTAAAAAAGCAATTTGGATACTTTATTTAAAACTGAGTGTCTTTCCTTCTACTGACAATTTAAAAAAAAAGAATAAAAGGACAATACCGAATGTCCTTTCCTAGTAAAATCCTACAGGTTCTGCAAATTGTCCACTGAGTGGAATGGTTCAGGTCATCATTAGTAGAAAATTCCGTATCAACAGAATTTGTTAAACCACAAATATTCAATGCACTGGAGGAGTTTGTAGGACCATCCTTGAAGGTCTCCCTTCTTCGGTTCTTGGTGGGGTCTAGGAATTTGTTTTTGTTTGGCTCTTCAGGGAATTTGGACATATGGCCATGTTTGGGAACTTTAAATATCACCCTACATTCAGGTCACACACCACAATCTGATAGCAAGAAAAGAAATGAAGGCAAAGAGACCAGGCAAGTATTCTTTGGTCAATGAGGACTGGGTTTGGGGCCAGGAGAGTTAATTTCTTTTTCCCAGAAACCTTTGGCTAAGCTCCCTTGGTGTTGGGTGGGACAAGAGGGAGTTCAATTTCTTGGCCTACAATGTTTTACAGCACCATTTTCCTAGGGCAAAGCATCTTAGGCTTCAGAGATTCCATTTTTGTGCCTGTTGCTTTAGTGCTCAGTGCACAGAAAGAGGGTGTGAAGACTTAAGTGTCTTCAAAATTCCTCCCATTTGTAAATGAATTTAGGACTGATAGGATGACGAGCTAGAATGACTAATCATCCCAGTTTGCCCAACAGTGAGGAGCATCCTGGGATGAGGGCCTTTCAGTGCTAAAACCAAGAAATTCACGGGCAAGTTGGGATAGCTGGTCACCCTAATTAGCACAGCTTATTTCAACAACTTGCTGCTGTTCAGGGCTAAGTGGAGTGGCATCTGTACCTGAACCATTCAGGGTTTCCTGGGAAACCTGAACCTGCCTTCGTTATACCAGTTTGTCAAAATCCTGAATGATTTCCTCAGGTCGGGACATGTGGTCATGCCCCAGAAGGTACCACCAGAGTCACAGTCCAGAAACCCAGCATTTTAAACCACACTATTGTAGAGAAAACTCCCAAGATTTGCTGAGTGTTCCTGCTTCTCTCCAGAGCCTGGTCCACTCCCGACTTCATTTTGCTTGCCCCAATTTTCCTTCTTCCTTCCACATGCGCCCTCAGTGAGCTGGCCTCTGAACCTGTGCTCCCAGACCCCAGTGTGGCTGGGAGACGAGTGGTCCTTGCGTTCACTTTAGGCTTCAGAATAGGAAGGTTGTCTAAGCTGCTGGGCTAGCTTAACCTCAGACCACGGGCCCAAAGATCAGTGACTAGGGCCTCTGATCCTCCAGAGAATCCTGCCAAACCTCCCCAAAGCTTCTGTTGGCACTTACAGACCCGCTAAGCACTCTCTTCCAGGAGGCAAGGTATGAGAAGGTGAAATTTACTGAGCAGAAAAGTACCAAAGGTGTAAAGTGGACAGGATGTGGATCAGACCTTTAAAGCAAGACTAATTATTAATTACAGCCTGTGGGTACACTGGGAGCCTTATTTCTATGAGCAACATAGAAGCACCCAGTGGAAATGTGAGGGGAATTGGTGGGCCTTCCTACGAGAACTAGGAACTTCTCGGAAAAAGATACACAGATTTCCAGGCTAGGAGAGGAGCCCACCCCGAGAAGTATTTTGGGAGGAGGAAAAAGGCTTGACTCACCTGTTGTCCTGAGCTCTGTTGGTTCCCAGCTGCAGAGAGAGAACCAGGAGCAGAAGGGCAGGGCTGGGCCTGAGCAGGAGCTGGAGAGAGTACATGCTGGAGGAGACAGAACGTGACGTCCTAGCAAAGTGCGGTCCCCAGTGTCCAGCCTGCTCTTTATACATAGATCAAGGAAGTGCAAGAGCTGCCAAGCAGATCTATGTGGCCAGTTGCCCAATTACCCTTCCTACTCGTGATCTTTCCTTGTTGAGCTAGAGTTGTTATTCTATGGAAAAAGTCAACATTTAGCTAGACTGGAAGAGTCTGGGAGAGGAATTAGATTGTCCTTCTTCATTTTCTCAATATCAGAGTTTCTCAGAAGGGCCAGGACCTTAAAAGATACAGCAGCTTTTCCCTAGCTCACAGAAATAGTTTATTTTCTCTCATCACCCTATGTCTCATCATCCTTAAATCAGGCATCTTGGCAACAAAGAGCCTGCTTATTTCACTAATGATGTGGCCACTTTTTTACACTTGTCTTATAGCACATATATTACACTTGTCTTATGTGCATAGGATGACCCACGATGGAAAGGATTCCCTCCATTAGAAACAGAACCCAAACTGTGTTCACGAGATTGCTCTGGCCCTGGAATTTCTCTCCCTGGGATGAGAGAAGACTCACTCTTGCTGACACTGGCATTGTGATATTTCTCTTTATCGAATCTGCTCCTTCACTTATGGCGTATGACATTGTGAAATTTGTTCCTCTCCTTTGCAGGACAGAGGGCAGCCCAGAAAGATTATCTCTGGCATGAAAGTAAAAATCAGAGTTCTACATATGTGCTTCTGGTTTTTGAATTGAATGTATCTTTCTGAGTTGTTCTGCTTGTTCACTCTACTCTTGCACTTCCCTCCTTGTTCCTTTGAACTTGACACCATTCATGATTTTCTTCACTTATAATTTCAGCTATTACCATAATCACTTGCTTTCTCTCTGTTTCCATTCCATGTGTCAAGAACAATGGTTCTGTCCCACTTGCACTGGTCACAGTGGCCCTCCTTCACAAACATTTCGCTGTGTTGTAATTTTCTTTACACCTGCTCCTTCTCTTACTTCCTTCAGTAATTTCCATCAGAGGGACTCATTAGCTGAGATTAAGGAGGAAGCAAGGCCAAAGGATAGAAGAAGTGTCCTTGTGGGAAAATAGGAAGAGCTTCTAGCTGGTGTCTAACTCCCTTTGAAGGCACAGTTCCATCCTCGAGGACTCATGTCCCACATACTGTCAACAAGCCAGTGCTCCAAAAGGGGCAAATGACAACTTGTCAAGAGAATCTGTTGAAAGTAAAATTCTCCCTTAGGCTACCAGGGAACTGCAATATTCAAAACCTTTAATGTACATGACAAATCTTAAGTACTATACAGGTAATGGCTAATGTGGTGTTTAATTTTATGTCAGCTTGGCTAGACCATGCTACCTAGGTTTTGGTTAAACACCAAACTAGATGTCACTCTAAAGGTATTTTTTAAAATGAGATTTAACATTTAAACCAATAGACGCTGAATAAAGCAGATTTCTCTCCATAATGTAGGCAGGTCTCAAACAAGCAATTGGAAGTCTTAGGAACCTGAAGAGAAAGGACTAAGGTTCCCCAAGGAAGAGTAAATTCTGCCTGCAGACTGTCCTTAGACTCGAGCTGTAACATCAAGTCTTCCCTGGGTCTCCAGCATGTAAGACTGTCCTACATTTAGAACTTTGCCAGCCTCCACAATTTCTTTTGAGAACCCTAAATCAGCTGGAGTTGGGAAGGGACAATGTTGAAAGAGTTGAAATTCTTTGAAAACATATTTGAAACCTTGGAGTGAAATCAGGTTCTAAACTCACAATATAGCAGATATTTCAGATGGAAAGGGCAGATGGGGAGTGGAGGAGATATGCCACCCAGGCACGGTGTGCTGCATTTGCAATGTTATTTTTGCTCTGCTTTAGGATGTTTCAGTGTTACTTCAGTAGGCAGTGAAGTCTTGGCATGTAAGACAGATTGTTGCCTATTGAACATAATTTTGAGAGGCACTTACAATAATTATTTACCTTTATACTAGTTTTAAAATCATTATTTTCTAAGTGATGGTCATATATTGATGGAGGATGTCATGCAAAATGATGGCCATGGAATAAGAACATGGTGAGGTTGCCTTAAGGCCAGTAGAACTGACCATAATTTTAATCTTTCACTCCACATTGATTGTAAGACTCCTGTGTATTTTAGCCTGATTTAAATGTTAGTAAACATTGATTAAATAATTCTGACTTAAACAGCAATGGATATTTACTCAAGAAATGACGTAGTTTGGGGGCCAATGAGTCAATAAATCCAAACTGCATAGAATATCTGGGTGGAGAAGAAGAGTATCAGGCAAACGTTGCAACAACGTGGTTTCTTAGGCATTTTCCCTGAGTCTGTCTTAAAATGTGGAACTAGGTAAGTCCACCAGACAAAACTCCATGTGTCCCAAGTCCGTTTTACAGCTGACACAAAGGTGTCAGTATTCATGGGGCTGAATACATCTGAACAGATCAAAATTTCAGAGGCAAGGTAGAATGTAAAAAACTGCCACAGTTCAGTAGAAGGCATAGAGGAACGTTTTCAGATTGGTATTTATGACAAGTCTGAGGATGACGCTCTTCTTCTCCATGTTATTGCTTCAAAAACCCACCAGCAAATGGTTCCAAAAGTGAAAAAATGAAACTGAAATTGTCATGTCCTTCAAGTAATGAACAAGTCTAGCAGGTTTAAGGAACTAAAATAGAGGTTGATAAAATCAGATTGTAAGCAACTCTGAAGGCTCATAGAGGAAAATGCGCCCTTGTGCACAGTGAAAGGCTTAAAGATTAAGGAGAAACTTGCCGCAGGATAAATTTGCAAAGAGAAAAGTAATCTTAGATCTGACAAGCTCATGAAAAAGGAAGATAAGAAATGACCAAAAAAGGGGAGTTATAGAACACTGAACACATATTATGTGTGTAACATACTGTGCTGAACTGTTTATATGTATTGACTCACTTAATCTTCAAACCAACTTTATGGAGTAGGTTGCCAGCTTTATCCTGTTTTATAAATAGGGACACCGAGGCTCAAAGTAGATAATATATTGAGCCCACATCAACATAAGGAGTAACTGGAGGAGCCAACTTTGGATCCAGGTTCTGTGGAATCTGAAAGTTTTGTTTTATAATATTGGGAAACTCTTTCAGAAATAGAAAAAAGCTTACAAATATGAAATACAGATAAAAGACTTTGGAAGATGCTGTGAGGGGCTCTGAGGCTTCACATCATTAATTTTATGGTGAGCACATCTTTGGATGAGCCAAAATTTGAATGAAGTCTGTCTGGTTCTAGAACTTGGACTTTTAACTACTCTACTGTCTGCTGGTGAAGACAAGTCCCCAGTGCAGCATGCCCAGACAGTAACAGAGAGTCCCAGGGTGGGTAAATACAAGGCCCTTTATAAGCATATGTTTTATTTTCGATGGTTGACTGTTCTAGGGTGTTTCCCCATAAAGTTGATGTGAACATTCTTAGCATTCATCCTTTCTTCTGTTTGTTCATCTCTCTACCTACCATCCACCCAATTCCTTCAGATAAGCCACTCTACAAATACTGATTGAGTACCTACCATTACAGAGAGGTTTTACGTGATGGGCATAGCAAAGTGAATAAGACAGAGTATGATGGGGTAGGCAGTCAAAAACACAAATTTAATAGGCAGTCATCAGCATTGTAATAACAGCTTCTGTTTATTGAGGGCTAGTAAGTACTTCTCAGGGTTAACCTAAATGGAGCTGGCAGCCTTGGGACCTGTTTCTGTCCATACATACATTTTAAAAAGCATCCAAACAGACATACCTAAAAATGATAAAATACAAGTGTGATTCAAAAGTTTTGAATAGTATCATAGATCTTTACTGTAGTTATTCTTTTTTCAGGGATGGGAAGTTTTACACATTATATTCTACAAATACCTTTCTTAATATCTTCCTTGATCCCAACATTTTTCTTTTAAAGGTAGCTGCTGGAGATGTCTTCTTGTTCTCTCATCAGTGTAGTGTGCTCACTGCCACGGTTATTGCCCCCATTCTTACATCACTTTTGATATATGATCCTTCCTCCCATGGTGAAAGACCTCAGAAGTAGAGCTTAGCAACGTTGTCTCCATTTCTCATGAGACTCTGATCTGCTAGGATTGTTGTGTATATCTTCTTTAAATACCAAAAACAGCAATAAGAACAAATGCTTACAGAGTGCTTACTGTAAGTCAGACTCTCTTCTATGTGCTTAACATATTAATTATATGTTAACATATTAACTTATTCCTTAAAACGATCATATCACTTAAGTATTATCCCCATTTTATGGATGGAGAATTTGAAGCCTAGACAGATAAGGTAAATTGCTTAAGGTTGCAAAGTTACCAAATGTCAGAGTTAGGGTTCAGAATGAAGCAGTCTTATGCCAAAGTCTAAGTCCTTAGGTGCATTTACTGTCTCTTTATGTAACAACATTTTACAGTTGAAGAAAGGAAACTCATCAGAGATTTAATAACTTGTTCAAGTCATGCAGCCCAAACCCCAAAACAGTGATATTCAAGCCCAGATAGAAGCAAACCCTGAGTTGGTGCTCATAATGACTACTTGGTATTGCCTCCCAATTAATAAGGGCATGAGTGCTATCGGGCTCACACACAGGGCATTGACTCATGCTGAGGATGCTAACTACCAGAGGAGTTTGCATGCAAGTTGTATTTTGAAGTGTTGCTGTGTGACTCGAAACCCAGCCTGAGATAAGAATAAGTGTATGTATGTGTTTGCAGCAATAATGCTAGCTGCCTTAATAAATTAATCCTAAAATATTTTTTGTTTTTTATTGAAGTATCGTTGATATACAATCTTATGTTAGCTTCAAATATACAACACAGTGGTTCAGCAGTTACCCACATTATTAAATCCTCAGTCCCTAGCACAGTTACTACCTATCAATGTAGAAAGATGTTACAGAATCATTGACTATATTCTCCATGCTGTACTACCATCCCCTGTGACCAACTTATATTGTGGTTGCGAATTACTGTGTCCCTTCACCCCCTCCTGCTCACCCCCGCACCTGCTCCAACC